CTTCATCGTCAAAAGACTCAGTCATAAGGGAGGGGTTGGGAAGGAGACTTCAGGGAGTCTCTTCCCATCAAAAATACTTCATGCACAATTCAATATAGACATCAACAAAAAAGCATCTGAATGCATCCGTGGTAACCGCTCTAAACATTAAACCGATCAGAACATCGCTAAAATGACTTAAAAACAGGGAAAACAGCAGAGTATTGACGTTGGAAATAGCTCACCCTTTCCACATGATGCCCTCAGAAAGAATTCACAGACCGCTGCCCCAGATTCTGTGGGAAAAATAAACACATTTTAAAAAACACTTCTTTCTAAAAGTTCCATTTACAATTATGTAGATCGAGACCCTCACTTAATTCTTATGACACGTTGCACAGAAACAGGAGGAGGTCACTGTGTCTTTTCCGATAATCAACAAGACCACGGCTGATCTGTGACCCAAGTGTACAAACTCACTTTTGTCCCATGTCGCTTAATAACTTTGATCAAATCTCACTTTAAAATTTATGTGGCATCAATTGCAATTTATAGCAGTGATTCAAACATCTATAACTGCGTCTAGAAGTGTTTCCCCAACTTCATTCAAAGAAGACCTAACTAACATTTAAGCCATGTCCTAGGCTGCCCAGCAAGCAAAAGCACTTCCTCTATTGCCTGATAGTTGCCTATTCTCCCACTCTTGTACAAACACAAGAGTTCTGAACAAATTGTGTTTGGACAATCTCAAACTGTTCCCAAAATAGTGCAAGTACAAAACACACAAACTACTCACAAGGTAGACAATTTCCCCTCTCCAAAAAACAAACAATTTGGACACCTAGTGTCCAATGGTTGAACAGGTATGAGAATGTACATGAGAGTTTAGAACTGCTATTTATATAGGTGTAGCAAGTACTGCATTTATGTACGTTAAAGAAATCAGCACACTATTTACATGAATTTTAACAGCACTTCAACAGTGTACAGTATAGAGATGACATACATCAAGAGCACTGCCCACATTTCTGCTGGTCTCGCTGGCAGCATCCAGAAATCTCCAAAGTGATACCAGTTCAAAATAAATTGAAATTATATTTTGCGTGTCCATCTAATTGTTCTGTTCATTCAGCTAATCCAAAGTTATCATCATAGTTAATCATAGAATCCCTACAGTGTGGAAACAGGCCCTTCGGCCCAACAAGTCCACACCAACCCTCAGAGCATCCCACCCAGACCCATCCTCCTAAAACCCACTTAACCTACACATCCCTGAACACTACGGGCAATTTAACTTAGCCAATCCACCTAACCTGCACATCTTTGGACTGTGGGAGGAAACCCACGCAGACACAGGGAGAATGTGCAAACTCCACACAGACAGTCGCCCGAGTATGGAATTGAACCCGGGTCCCTGGCGCTGTGAGGCAGCAGTGCTAACCACTGAGCCACCGTGCCGCCCTTCAGCTAGTTCTGCCACTCCTTCAGGAACGATGGCATTAGTCATTGCTAAGACTTCTGAAGAAAAACATGTGGGTTGACAGGTGCATATGGCAAAAGTACCCAAGAGATATTTTCTTGACATTGATACCAACTTGCCATGAGCTATCCAGAGGCAGCGATTCAGTGTGTCCTGGCATTGTTAAGCACACATCTGACCGCAGTTTGATTTAAGCACTGTATGTTCTTAAGGGAGGGTGGGGACGAAGAGTCGCTAAAAGCAATCGGTTCATTATCGTAGATGTGACAGGGGATCGAGAAGAGAGGGGGAACGGGGGGGGGGG